TTCACAAACATTCCAATAGACTATTTATGCAATGACCGTACCTATGTGCTCGAAGCGTTTCTAAACTCATCGAAGGAATTCGATAATAATATTATAATAACAAATCTATAGAATGGCATTTTTCTATTAAAAAAATATAAAAAAAATATATTTTTATTTATTTCTCCTCACAAACATTGTACACATTGGGAACAGATACATGTAGTATTGTAGATAATACATTGCATAGATTTATAATTACAATCAATTGTTGTGAGAAACTGGTGTCTGAAATATGTTACAACCTGTAATACCAGGAAAAATAGATAAAACCATGTTCAGGAAACTAAAAAACAAACTTCAATCTCATTATAATAATAATATCTCAGGATAACTCACACGGCTCCATCTAGTCCAAAACTATAAGCTTGGTTATGGTAAGGTACTAGACAAGTGATATCAATACATAAAAAATACCCAGAGCAATGCAAATAATACTCATGAATACAAAACATTTATACCATGCGAGGAATCCAATCCGCGACCAAGGGAAATAAAACGGTGTGCTAAACTGATATGCCACCGAGGTCGTCAAATTATAAATTATTGAAGACGCCTATGTAAGACCGGTGTATGCAACCTCTTTGTTACATTATGTTTATTATTAAAAAAAACTCTTGTAAATCTATCTTCATCAAACATTGTTTCTTTCACATATCATGTTGTTGATGATGTTTAATATTGTTTTGTATCCCGTAAATTAATAAAAAATATGTGTAAATAAATAATAAGTAGCAACCCTAGAAATTATGTCCGGGGCTATATAATTTAAAAAAAAAAATTAAGAATAAAAACATTTTTAATTTGGCATTTCTTCTATGTTATATCCTTATTACATAGTAATCAATTGCTTTTCGCAATCTAACAATACAATCGAGAACCCTTGGTAACTGCGTCATATATTGCCTTGGAAGCAACAAAAGTGTCTAATTAAAGGAAACTTCCATTATTGCTATAACACGATTTCCAAACGATTCTGTAATAATAATAATAACTTTGGATAACAAGTAATCACGCAGTACCAACAACTTCTAAGTTAAGACCTTTAAAAACACAAGACGGGCAGACGTTTTAGACAAGCAGATCTGTGAAATGGCTATTAAACATTTGACAGAAATACTTCATTTTGTAAATACATAATAATATATATAGAAAACAACCAGATCGTGCGTGGAATCCGCGACCATCGGAAGTAAAGCTAAACCGCTAGACCATTGAGGCCGTCTACCCAATTACCCAACATGAAGACCATAAAATGGCAAGACACGCTGTTTTACAAATATCCAAACATACTGCTATACTAGCCAGTCTGACCATCGATTTCTAAACCTCTATCTAGTCATTTGTACACATTAAACATCATTCATGTAGAGCAGTGTTTCCCAACGTGGGGCCCACGCCCCATAGGCAGAGGATGGGGGGTAATTTGATTTTTAAGGGGGCAATTCGAACACGAGTTTAATTATTCCTTTCGCTCTGGGCTCTGGGCTTTCAGCCTGAGCCAAGGTTCGAATCCCTAGCGGTGCCCTCAAATTAGTCGTATCCATCAAGCGGAAGTTGGTCTTCAGCCGCTCTATAAGTCCTTCCGCGAGTTTGGAGTGCCATGTACACTCGCCCCCTATCGTCTGCTGAAGCTGTAAAGGCCAGCTGGACCTACTTTAATGCTCCAACAGCATTAAAGTAGGTCGAAAAAAAGAAATCGCATATCTCCGATGGAAGATCATATCTTTCTAACCTCATAAAATGTCTACTTATTGTAAAATATCTACGTGTGCGTAGGTCACACTGACAGATCAATACCAAGCAATTAAGTATTACTGTCTCAAGTGTTTTCATTGCCGAAGTCTCGCAACGTCGACATCTGTCAATTCTCAAACAATAATTCTCAATATTTCTGAATAATATAATAATCTTAGGACAACTCACATAGCGCCATTTAGTCCCAAGATAAACATAGCCTGTTTTATAAGTATATGGCTACATTGTATTATTTCTGTCAACACTTGAGACCCTTCCATTAGTACCTCACCACATAACATAGATTTAAGTTTAGTGTAAAGAGACCACATCACGACTCCGCGTCGCATGTACGCCATGTAGCATGCTACCAAGTAAACTTACTAACGTACAATAAACAGCACAATTATATCACCGGTATACTCACTACCAGCATATTACAAAAAACAAATCAATTATGTAGCGACACCTCATCACATTATCTATCAATTTATTTATATGTATATAAATAAAAGTGGAGTGTCTGTTTGTAATATTAAAAGAACCGTTTTTACTACATGCATATGAATATAAATACTGTACATACACCAAAATAACATTTTTTACAATTTTTCTCTGTCTGTCTGTCTTGTTGTTGTTTCTGTTTGTTTGTTCCGGCTAATCTCTGAAATGGATGGACCGATTTTGATTGAACTATTTTGGCAGGTAGCTGATGTAATAAGGAGTAACTTAGGCTACTTTTATTTTAGAAAAATAAAGTTAAATTCCACGCGATCGAAGTCGCGGGTACAGCTAGTGTACTATATAACGCAGTGGTGAGGTGATAACCACCGCGCTACAGGTACTAGACAACTAAGTATTTTCTTTGTATATTATATTTACAAAAAATATATATCTATGTACATCTATGAGTTGTCTAGTACCCAAAAAAAAAAAAAAAGCAAAAAAGCTTACTATAAAATTGAAGAATTCGTTAACGATAATAATGTTTTTATAGAAAAACTTTAAATATATAGCACTGACAATATTATCTGATTACATTAATAATGAGTGCGTAGCGACTTCTATGTTGATTATCGCATGCCTCTTACTTGTTATACTGTAATTATTTATATAAAAAAAACATCTATTAAAAAGAGCAACACACAAGTTTCTTGCTCATTCTTCTTGTGATGAATCTGCATTCCGAATGAGTGGTAGAATCAAAATATGACTATTCAAAAGTGCTTGTAATGAGTTTATTTGAATAAAGATTATTTCTATTTCTATTTCTATTTCCATAAGCTTTGTTTAACTTAGAACTAGATGGCGCTGTGTAAATGCTCCAGGGATATAGTTATTATTAGTAAGCAGTTTATCTGTACTAATATTATAAACTGGTAAAACTTGTGTGTCTAGAGTTAGGAAGAGTTCTTTTAGAGAGTTCTTTTAGTGCTGGATAGAATATTTAGAGAGGAACCCTATATGCTATATAACATCACGCCACGACCAATAGAAGTGGAGCTATAATGAAAAATGTTGCAAAAACTGGAAAATGTGACGGAGACGAAGTTGCGAGGGTTATTTATTTTGACAGTACATATATTTTGTATATCAGTATTAGCCACTATTATTTTGCTAACGTGAGATTACCTATACCTTACCTTTCCTCATAAAAATAACATTTAAAGCCCTATCTCTCTCGGCTTTACCATGCGTTACAAAAAAGATAGACATATAATAAAGAAAACTAAGATACTCATAGTTACAATAAACCGACAGTCTACAGAAATCGATACGATATATAGTCTAGACTATTCTAGACTTTGCAAAACGGCGACTTAACTTGTCATTGAACTTACTAAAACACATATCATTGGGTACACTGACCTGCTGAATCTTAATGAGCGTAATGAACGCTAGTGATAAAAAAAATTACAAGTCGTATACACTATGCTGTATAATTAGTCGTATATATGTACATTATAATATGAATAGCAAACAAGCCTATATACATATACAACATGAGCACCAAGGATATCATAAAATAGGAATAGAAACAATACTTATTTAAATTAATTTAATGTAAACACTTCTGAATAGTCATTTTCGACGGCATCTTGCGGTTTAGTGCATATCTTTACTTCCGATGGTCGCGGGTTCGATTCATCACACGGTGCAAACATTTGTATTCTTAAGTATGGAATATGGAAGTTTGTCTCAGTCTGGTTCGTTTCAATGTATATATGCATTTATAAAAAAAATCGTCTATGTATTTATATCAGTTAACTAGTACCCATAACACAAGATCTGCTTTATTTGGGAGTAGGGGGCCCTGTATATGTCCAGGTACATATTAATACGTGAAGTTAAAATTTTATACCGTTTTAGGAAAATTGCGAGGATGGAGTATGAAATTTCGCACACTTATATATCATTTATATAGAGAAGGAGTGCATAATGTTAATATTTAAAATTAGACAAAAAATACATTAAATTAATAAAAAAAACATCCCACTATTTTATTTTATTATTATATTTGACGTACACGAAGCGATGGTTTTTACCTCCTCAGGAAAGAGTGTAAACTTTCCAAAGGAGATATTTCGTTTATGGATGTGTTGTGGCGTTATACAGGCACATATACTCTTTTGATTATTTTTAAAGCCTGTGGTCAAATTGAGAATAGATTAATATTATTTGTCTATATAGTCTATATATATAATATTATAGTGACGTGGTCGTGTAGAATGAGCAGTCATGCTCACTAAAATGTCCAGACATGTGGCGGCGTGGTGGGCCGGGTCATTGGGCTCCCTAATATATGGTCGAGCGCAGTGATGGCTGGCTCATCCGCCATACTCGTAAACGAGTGCTGCTTGTAGGGACTGGTCTGCTCTTGATTTAATCTTATTGTTTTTTTATATTTGAGCCTAAATAAATTAGTGCTGGTTGGTAGTTTGTATTCACACGTTTCGACTTGTAAAATATGAACTTGCAAGGATTGTTTAAATGAGCAACACACCAGTTTCTTGCTTATTCTTCTTCTGATGAGACAGCATTCCGAATAACCGGTAGATTTAAAAAAATGTTGACTATTCAAAAGTGCTTAAATTAAGTTTATTTGAATAAATTATTTTCTATTCTATTCTATAGCCTTACTGAATGTTAAATTAATTATGATTAAATTTGGACCACCGTGCAACCATTATATAATAATGATTATTATTATAATAAGTGCCTACCTCCTCCCAGGAGAGGATGGAGCTCTCGACGGCGCTGATCCACATGTCGCCGGCGCCTGCGCTCACGCCGGTCACCCCACGTCGACTCCCTCCACCCTCTTCCGGACTTGAATGCTGAAACAACAATAAACATTTATAATCTCTCTACATTCTTTACATATAATAAAATCGTAAAGTCGTAACGAGGCAAAAAAAAAACTCTTGTTTGTTAATGTTTGCCATAAAATTTGCTGGAGCAATTACAATGAAATTTATATGTTGTTACTTGTTTCACCCGCGTTAAATTTCAATAAAATATTTAGCATTCGTTATTCTGATACATAAGCTATACCTACTACTGTAAAGTTTCATCAAAATCCATTCAGTAGTTTTTGCGTGAAAGAGTAACGAACATTTATATTTTCAAACTTTCTCATTTGTAATATTAATAATATATATCAACATAGTAGGTTCCACAAGCTTGAATTTTATAGGCTATGTGTTATTCCGATATATAAGTATGACATGACTCCATAGTCGTGTCTCATTGTGATGGTAAACACCAGTAGTGAAAAATAACTAAAGATATATTCAGTACAGATAAACGTAGTTATTTCTATACAGTGGCATATGATCATATCATTCTCATCCATTGATACCAGGGCAGCATAAACGAATAAGAACGAAAGCTAGTCCCTTATCTAATCGAAGAAAATTCTATAGAATTTAAGTACGGTGGTTTTTAGAGAGTACTATTTGGATATCGACCAGATAGAGTACACTCGTAATTTGTGGCTCCCTCATTATAGACAACCACTTGCCCTCCGCTAAAAATAATAAAATAAAGAACCTACATTTAAAACTCGCTATCCCCAACATATTTACTGAGCGATGACATTACAAATCTCTTCAAAAGACACATTTTATCAGATTTCTGTTTCCGTAATCTCACTATCTCTTAAATTATTTACAGAATGACTAGTTTAATGTCACGTCACATTACACGTACACTGATATATCAAGAGTACATTTTAAGTAATCTAAACTTACTACATAAGGACTAGGAGTAACCTGACATTGAGGGTGTCGCAGTTGGAGTCTAGACACGATGCGATTTTTAAGGCGTTTGTATCCACAAACATGCTGCCCACCTTCATGAAGGAGGACTACTGGCCGAAGTGGATAGTGTATCGGCGCTACCGTGCCAGTTTGCTGTTGTTAGTGCAGTGTTACAGAAACGACGTATATTTTTTTTGGGCTATAATGGAATGCTGCACCGCTGCACGGTTTACGCTGGCGGTGCACCAGTGGAGGATAAAAAGAGCATGAAGTCGGGTGAGTTAACCCATCATGGCAAATGGGAATTTACCACAATGGTTTCCACTGGGAACCGCGTGGAGGTCAACCTGACATGATATTGCTAGCAATATCATTAGTCCACATTACTAACAATCTATCATACTTTCCCAACAAGCGGCTGGATTTGATAAACCGTTATCTAATCCAGCCATTACAGGTATGTTACCAACATATGAACACACGTATAGAAGAATTACATCTTATATATAAAATTCTCGTGTCACAGTTTTCGTTACCATACTCCTCCGAAACGGCTGGACCGATTCTCATAAAATTTTGTGAGCGTATTGAGTAGGTCTGAGAATCGGCCAACATCTATTTTTCATCCCCCTAAATGTTAGGGGTAGTCCACCCCTAAATTTTTTTTTTATTTTTTATTAAAATTTTTGATCTCTTTACAAAAATACATACAATCCTAAATTTTCCCCCTTCTGTCATCAACCCCTATTTTTTTATAGCGTTATTAATTTAAATGGCAAAACAAAGTTTGCCGGGACAGCTAGTATACATATATTAAGTGTTATAATATGGTGTTTTACAATAGCACAATGAACCGTATAGAGCTATAAATAGTTACTTTATTTGTTTGTTGACGTTGCAATTCTGCACAACAGACTGGAGTTATTTATTTGAAGATAATAATGCAATATTTTAATATTATCAGGGGTACATTATTCCTAGTTTACATACTTTAACTGTCCAATTAAAAATTAATTATACGTACAAGTAACTTATTATAATGTATTGACCTCTCGATTCGACTTATATTTCTAAGTCGAATCGGGAGTATATAAGTTTGTATTTTATACAAATATATAACTTATATTCATATTTATACAAAAACCATAACGAATTAACACCTAAACCATATTTCCACAGAAATCATTCTGTTGATGGATATAAACTGTACTAAAACCAATATATTTATTTTCCCGGCAAACGTTATTTTGATTATTATCACTATTAAAAAAGAAGAATGGTAAAAGGGTAAAGAGTGTTGTTATGTTTATGTATTCTTTATTAAACAAAAAATAAAAAACAAGGGTCATAAAATAAAGAAAATTTATTTGGGGAGGAGAAATTTTTCCCTTATCATTTATAAAAAATAGGTAACAACCTATTCTCAGACCTACTGTATATATACATATAAAAATTCAGCTAAATCGGTTTAGTAGTTTAGGATTCCATCGCTGTCAAACAACGGGACACGAATTTTTTATATATTAAGAGGACATAGATAACAAATATATTTAGATAATAAAGTACTCTATGACACAACGGTTTAAAGTTCCGTACTTTTTGATATTATCACGAACATACAGACAGACGCGATACTCTTTTATTTTCATGTAATGATATGGTACTGGTATGTATAGATAATAATCACAAATTGATGTAGAGGAAAGTGACCAAATATGGAATACCACTTTGATTTTTGGGCATAATTTCCACAAATCTTATATATAAAATATGTTTTGCGGTAATTATTAACAGTCATATATTTGTACCCATATATGCTATTCCATATATGGGTACCTGTATTGCTATTTAGTTTTTGAGAGTTTTTCTTACCCCAAAGTAATCAATATAACCTAACATTGTCACAAATTAAGTACAAATATATGTTCTTTTTGAGTTCATCACGAATGCACAAACAGACGCGAAACCCTATTTTCCCATAGGTATGTATAGATAACAATCATTATTATTTATTGGCAGAAGATAATTATACATTTGCATGCATACACACTAGTGTAAATAATTGTGGGTAATAAACATCGTCGTATAGAATTACTATATACAAACACTTTCACTAGTAAGTTACCTACTTATAATTATTTAATTTATCACTTGCCTATATATTAAAACCTTGAAACTTATTAGATTAACATAGCTGAATAAGTTTCAGCGTTTCAATACCGCAATAATTATATTAAAATATTATATACGAATAATATATGCACAGCGCCATCTAGTCCCAAACTAAGCAGAGCTTGTGTAATGGGTACAGCAGCTGATATAAATACTTAAATACATTTTTTTAATAATATAACAACACGTTACCTATACAAACAATAATACTCATGAAAACAAATATTTATAACGTGCAAGGAATGGAACTCGCGACCATTTGAAAACTGTGTGCTAAACTGCGAGACCACCGAGGCCATCCCAAATTCGACAATACTCATAAATAAAGAATTATCACACCATATCATTTATACCTTAAAATTAAACACTAAACTAGATATATAGTGATACATTGTGTATCACTATATATCTATAGATCACTACTATTTCTATATCTTATTTAATTTCAAATCTACGCGGCAATCAGACCAGTAACTACACTTATACTGAAATACATTTAAATGCACACTTACATTTCAATGTATGCCTGTGAAATATCACTGCCTACTATACTTCATTTCAAAAATACTGTCAACTGTGGTGTAAATAAACACTTTAAAATGCCTATATCACGATACTATATAAAATAGAGCCCATGATACTCTGTAAAACGATTTTTAAAACCAGTCTACTTCTCAGTCTAGTGCTCGATGTATACTTCATACTTTACAAACAATCAATACTTTCCCGTTAATAATATCAGTTTAATTAATATACCGATAATTTATCACGATTATATTATTATTAACGAGTCTGCTTATAGTCTGAAAGACTGATAAATGGGAAACAAATTATAATAATGACAATTTAAACGTACTTGGTTTGTAAACGGAGCGAACACCAGCAGGCCAGCCGTAGAAATGATCGTAGTTCGGCGAATTAACTATGTACTCACTTTAAATTACACATTATTGACTTTATGGTATATGACAAGCTGTTACGTTCTCAGTCTTTCATTGTCGATGCTGATCAAACATTAAAAAACCAATCTACAAGCGTGTCTGGATCCAATTGGCAGGCACGCGTTAACAACGCATAAAACAAAATATATTTTCTTTAATTTTTCGAAGTAAAGTTGTTGGGCACAGCTGGGTTTTACTTTGTCGAACGTTATGGGAGAAAGTGGCGAAGGCTCTTCAAATCCGAAGGACTTATAGAGCGGCTGAAGACAAATTTCTAGTTGGCGATACGACTTTACTCTGAGGGCACATGTAGGGATTCGAACCTCGGCCAATCAGCAGGCACACGTCACTTAAAATATATTTTGTATAATTTTTCGACTTTTACTTTGTCGGACGTTATGGGAGAGAGCGGAGAAGGCTGTTTAAACCTGAAGGACCTACAGAGCCTGAAGACGACTTCCTGGTTGACGATACGACTTTAGTCTACGAGTTCGAAACTCGTCCAAGTTGCAGGCACACGTCACTTGAAATATATTTTGTTTTTCGAAGTAATTTTGTAGGCCAGAGCTGGCTTTTACTTCGCTAAAAGTTATGGGAGAGAGTGGCGAAGGCTCTTTAAACCCGTAGGACTTATAGAGCGGCTGAAGACCAATTCCTGATTGACGTCTTTAGTCTAAGGGCACTTTAGGCCGTCGTAATTACGATCCCCGTTTGAATGTTACGGAGGATTGATCGGAAGGGTGAATATACTCTGTATGAATTGTGCACATGCTTTTTAGCATTACATATAAGCGTGTAAATTGCATTAAGTTTGAAGGTCTTACTGATAAGCAGGTCGTCAGCTCTTCATATAGCAACGTTTTTTTAATGTTCTAACATTTTTAAGGTTCGTGCACATAAAGCATTGCTGTGCTATCATAAGATCCTGAATTTTTATTTTTAGAGTCAAACGCGCTTATTATG